AAAACTGCTTTATTTTCTTTATTTCCCACCCCCGCCCTCAATTTTTCAGGAGGAGCCAAAACCCATGCTGCTTTTTACCGGAGAAGTTACTGAGCATCATCTCTCACCTCGGGAAAAGCAGAGCAGGCCAAGTTTTCGGGCTCGTCGCACACGCAATAATAATAAACCGGTTTGCAAGGAGCGCGCCTGGAATAGAAACTATAAACTCCTGGCAGAACGCAAGCGTTGCAATTCAATTTTAACAAGTCTGTGGGTAAAAGAGCCAGAACGGACTCCCGGCTCTTGCTTTTGTAGCAGTGTTAGCTCCGCAGGGCTAGCAGGCAAGGGGAAATCCCAACCCAAACTTGAATCGTTAAAGCGAGCGGATTCGGGGCAGTACACCCGACAGAGCGGATCTGGCACGCGGCCACCGTTACACAGTCCCTTTTCAGAGCGCTGCCTTGCACTGTAAAGGACTTAAAAACACTGGAAAAAAATAATAATAATACAACACCCAGATGGATTCAATCACCACAAAATGCTTCCAACACTGACGGATGACAACTGCTTTTGGGGACAGAGTCTTTATAATGCTCCTTGGAGTGCAAGAGGCCATAAACATCATGGAAGGGGACAGACAGTTATATAACAAACTGGGAGGAGGGAGGAGAATTACATTATCCTAACACGACACAGATGTCCGCTTTGCTTGCTACAGAACTGAGTCACTGGTAGCTTTCTCCTCGGTGCGACTCGTTGCACAACGCTCCCCGACGCACTACGCCAGCTCCAGCTGCCCGTTCCTCAGCGGGGAGAGCGGACAGTTCGTGGTCCGGTTGAAAGTGTCGACCTCTGGCACAAGTTTCTCGGTGGGGACCAGGAGCTTTCTCCGGCTGTCCATGCACTTGTTGTCCAGCACCAGGGAACCGGCTTTGTAGCCAATGTCTGTCTGAATGCGGTGAAGTTGTCTGTAAAGCGCGTCCAAGACGCCCCTAGGAAGGAGCAGAAGTGAGAGGAGTTGCGTTCAAGCACTGCCTTCACTTCCCAAGTTGGACAGGAAACACCCAACTTCCCACTTTCTGGCAGCAGAAATACCCACGCAGCCTTTGCCTCTGTACGAAGACCGAACGTATCGGGGATTTCTCTGGGCACAGCGGCAGCGCTGGGGCTGTGAGCAGCAAGCCCACATGCTGCTCCTGGAGTGCAGTGCAGAGATGCGCTCCATGGGACCCCATGCCAGCCCAGAGCAGCACTTCTGTTTTTTCCTTTACTTTTCACCCGTTTTGTTTTTTTTCCCCTGTTTTAGAACCATCTGTGCCTGGCTGAAGTCAGAGTCGCGCAGGGACCGTGGGAATCCCATTCGCCCTCCCAGCACACAGAGCTCTCGTGCCTTGTCTGCACCCTGCAAGCCCAGTCCAGCTCCCCACCCAGCCCAGAGACTCCTTTCCACTCCTGATCCAAGCTCCAAAATGCAGTTCCTGGACACGTGCCAGCGCCAGACCTGCACGCAGCCGCATCCCTCACGTAGGCAATGTCGGGCCACTGCTCAGCCCCAGAGCTGGAGACTTACTGTGACTCTGCTAGCTTCAGTTTGAGCGCGCGGATCGTTCCCTCCAGCTGGTGGACCTCATCCGTGAGCCCGTACTGGACCTGCACAGTGGGGAAGGAGAAGGGCACAGCATTTAACAGGGCTGAAGAGTTGTTTTACAAAGGCCACAGTTCCCCTCTCGTTCCCCTTCTAGCTCAGCTATGACATTGATTTCCGTGCTCTGACTGTAGGATCCGTTGCTCAGCCCCTTGTAGTTTTTTCCAAAGCGCACCCGTGTTTTTCCGAGCCAAGCGAGGCCCTGTCCCAGTCAGTTCCTCCGTCCCTCCTGGGGACGTGCCAGGCAAGGCTGGTACCTGATCCCGACAGAGCTCCACATCAGGCCGATACGTGCGGGTCTCCAGGCGGGTGTGTGCCACTTTCAGATCTTGCGCTTTCCTTCGAAGATCTTCCTCCAAGCGTCGGATGTCCTCCTCCATCTCAGCAATTTCGTCCAACATCTAAGGATAAAGACATGTATCATGAGGGACAGCCAGGGATACAGACTGGGAAACAGCCCCCACACATCCCGGGCTTTTACTGGGCTGGGAATGGGTTTTAAACAAGAGCTGGTGGGCTTCTGAGTACTGAACCCCTCTGCTTTTCGCACAGAGCAGGCACAGTGCTAACGGTGTTTTGTGGCCACAGCGGTTGAGACCAGGGGTGAAATAAAAAGGCCAAAACCTGGCACTGCTCCTGGGAAATGCCAGAGCAGCAACTGTGATGGCAGGAGGAGGTAGGATGTGGCAGGGATCATACATGTGCCTCTTAACAGCTTTCATGTGGAAACCGTGCTCAGGCCAAGTAGCTTTCCACACAACAGCCTTTTAGATTCAATTCCCACCCAAGGTTGTGGTTGATAACACTTACATTCCGCTCCTGCCATTTCAGCTCATCATAGGCTCTTTCCAGGTCTCTAATCCTCTTGCGCAAGGCAAACTCTGTAGCTACACGCTGAGCCTCCAGCTCGTTGTTCGTCTGAAGAGAGAACAGGCTCCAGTCACACACATCTAGAACGTGTCTCCCTCCCAGCAGTCACCAATACAACTGTCACTTGCGACGGCCTCCTGTGAGGTTGGGACAAGCCTGTTAGCAAAACCAGCTGCGTTCTGGCAGCTGCTATGCGTGCGCAGGTCATGCACCCCCTGTAGCCAACAGGCAGGAATGGTGGCAGGTACCTGTCTGAGACTGCTGCAAGCTCCGCAGCATAACCAAGCTCCCCGTTTAACCCAGAGGGCAGCTGCTCTCAGAGGGACCCATGGGCCAATACCGTCTTTTCAAAAACTCCCCTCCCCTGGCCACAGCATGTGCCAGCCCATTCTCCCACACTGGAACATCCGCACCACCGATTCACAGCCAAGGGACTAATTTACCCGTGCAATGGCAAGCATCGTTGCTTCTCGGAGCTCAGCCGAGGCTTTCATTTCTGCCTCAGCATGCTCCTTGTTGCGTTGGCTATTCTGTTCCCACTCATCAAGTGCACTTGATCTGTGAACAAATCAGCAGTTATGAAAATAAGTTGAGTGTTTGCAAGACAGTTCAAAAGGAACCACCTGCTGCAGGCCAAGAGGGCTTTGTGCAGTACAAAATGATTCAGGAATTCTGGAGGTCGCATCCTGTCTGATCTCCTCACTGCACCAGCTGGAGATCACTACCCCATGGCTCCTGCACCAAGCCCAACATCTGCTCAAACTGGGGACACATCCAAAGCATGCTATGAAATGCCAAGCAAGTGAAAATGTGCAGCAACTCCCCCATAAGCTGTGCCAAAGGCTGATACCACGCTACTTACTGAGTGTTGCCTATAGCCAAGCACAAGGGAGGCAGGGCAGCTACCTTCTCTGGTTTTGCGGTGACAGTTTAGGTAACTCCCAAAAGCCTGTGGCTTCACAATTCAAGAGCCACAACAAATCCCAGCAGCCAGCTCCTGTTCTTCGCGGCTGCACCCATCAAGCCAGGATATAGCACCGAAGGAAAAAGCATCCCGGGATTTGGCCACACAAGGGCAGGCTCTTTCCTTACCCGTCTGGGACCCGTGTTGGGTTGACCTTGAAGGAGATGTTGGGAGAGTTCACGCTGAGGGACAAGCACACACGATCTATTTCCAATGCTTCCATCTTGCGCCGGTGGTCACAGCTCAGCTGTTGGCGAGCTTCCTGTAAGAGGCTGCAGAAGCAGGATTGGAGTCAGGAGCAAGCACGCTGAGAGAGGAGGCAGCTCACAAGTTCCAAAGCTTTCATCACCACCTCAGCCATCTTTTTAAAATAAGTGATGAGCTCCTGCCCTCCTGGTGAACTGGGCCCAATGTGGAAGAGCCACACACCTGCCTTCCTGCCCGCCTGGCTCCCCCGTGCTCTGCTCTGGCAGCACACTGGTGAACTGAGCTGCCTGCCCGCCCGCAGCGGGGCAGTGACCCACGAGGGATTAGGGCCTGGGAGCTTTAACACCTCCAAGGCACCGCTTCATGAACCAAGGCAGGTGGCACAAAGAGATCTGTCATCCCCCAGATTAAACTGCTGAGGCCAAGTGAGGAGGGCAGAGTCCAGTCAAAAGCTGTGTCATTCATCTCACCAGAGCTGTTCGAAGGCTTCATCCGCTCTCTGCTGCAGTTCTCTCTTGGCTTTGTCTATCACCTTCACCTCCTTGCGCAGCTCCTCCTCCACAGGGTCCCTCACCACGTCGATGGCACGACGGCTCTCACGGAGTGTCAGGCAGTCAATGGAAACATCCAAAGGCAAGTTCTTTGCCTGGAGGGCACGTTCTGCTGCTTCCTTCACCTGGAGGAAGAGGGCAGCTGGGTGTGTAGGGTGTCTCCTTCAGGGACAGGAGGAAGAAAGGAAGGGGAACCCACTGATACCCTTGCTAAGAGGGCCTTGCACTGCCTGGCTTTGCAGTTCTGAAACCTTTTAGCAAGTCTGGGATGAAAATTGCAAGAGCCAAGCACACTAGGCTCTATATCTGCTATTTGCATTGGGTATCACACCTCGCCGGGGGCTAACAACTCCAGGAGCTGCAGCCTCTGGGTTTAGAACTAAAAGAATCAGAGAGATGTCTCACTGCTACTCTCTATTTAAAATCAAACATTTTTGAATGATGGTGTTAACATATTTCTCATTATCCTTCAGAGCTTTTAAAAAAACCCAACAAAACCCACCCAAACATGAGCATGCAATACTCAGCTCCATAAAATGGCATGGCTCAGCCAAGAACACAGCAGCTGGCTTTCCAGGAAGTCACTTCAGGTATGCATCTCAGGACACCTCTGATAAGCCCCCCTGAACTCCATATGGGCTTGCCCATTGCAGAAGATGAGCCTCAATTATTTAACATCCCACGTTGAGAGTGTAAGTTGATTTCCAGCCATCTGTCTTCCCAACATACTTTGGCTAAGGCATCAATTTCCACATCTATGTCTGCAAGGCATTTGTCCAGGGTCTCCTTCCATCTGTTCACACTGCTGATACGTTCAGCCAGGCGGGTTTGGTTGTCATGCTCATCCCATTTTGTCTGGAATTAGAGGAGAAACGCCATTACTTTCTTTTAAATTGCATTTGTGAATCTTGCTGAAGCCTTTCCCTGTTTTCAGGGTTGACTGACCCTTCACAGGAGTACAACACATTGCCGTGTAGTCTACTGGTCATCTACACAAATGGAGAGCACAGAAAACACCACAAGTTGCAACAGACATGAGAATCACGCCCAGAGATTTTATGACAGTACGTGTGCATCACTGCACATAGGTTACAGGAAGTAAATGTGCATACTTAGCAGGTTCTGTAGAGGTCAAGCCTTCTCCTATCCCCTCATCCATATGCCCAGACCTAGATGTTCTCCATACTCCTTAGCCCACTGTTCTGACAAACCCGGAGCAGCCAAGCTGCCAGAAGACCCACCTGGTTGTTGGTTTCATTGCGGAGAGCTCGGGCTTCCTGCCGCACTTGGTGGGAAGCAGAACGCTGGCGTTCAGCATCAGCTGAGATGAGATGGGAGTTGGTGTGCCAGTCTGGCAAGGTGAACCGCTGTCCTGGCTTTACACTCAGTGCGGCCATCTCGCTAAACAGGTGTCTAAAAGCGAGGGGAAGATTCTCACGTTTATTCATGCAGTACACCAGAAATGGAGATGCACCCACAAACTGGAAAGCTCTTCACGAGGAAATCAGCAGCAAACTCTAGCCTGGCATCTTGCCTAATGCAGACACGTGTCCACGCAACCGGGCAAGCACCAGGGCAGGCGATCGGAGCCACCCTCTGCCGCTGGGCCAGGAGGAGAGCCCTGGCCACCTCTCTGTCTCTGGAGAGCGGTGTTATTTGCAGAGACAAGGAACCACTCACAGCACCATCTCCCACATGGTATTTATCGAGCTTGGACAAAATGGCTGATTACATTACTCATTCTGCTTCTGTTACAACTGCGAAGGCTCAGCCCAGGGTTGCAGTCCCAGGGGACTTGGAGGCTTTGCAGGAACAGTATAGTTTGCAGCCATTGTCCTTGCTACCCAGCGTATCCCTGCAAAACTGGCAGGAATTGCAGAGCTCGATCAACAGAGCAGCTCCTGAAAGACTGCAGGTCCCAAAAACCCCACAGCCAGGTGGAGTTCGGGGGCAGAGAGTCTCCCTGGCTCTGGCGGTCCCCCAGTCCTCTCGGGCACAGGTAGTTGGGACAGAGCTCCTTGAGCACAGCCGTCTGCACCAAAGACGGCTGGGGAAGAGAAGCAGGGGAGCTTCTAAAGGGAAGGAAGCCCTGCGGGCAGGACTCGGGGCTGCAGAGCCAGCGGGAGAGAAGGCACAAAGGGCTGCAGGGCAGAGGGGAAGGTGGATGGAAGGAGGGAACAGGGAAGGGGCTCAGTCCCCAACTAGAGGGGCCCTCACCCAGGCTGGGCGCAGGCAGCCCTGAGCAGGGTGCCCCAGCTCCACCCTGCCAGGGCCTTGCTGCTCCCTTGGGGCTCATCCCGGGCCCGGCCCCGCTCCTGCTTCCTTAGGGCCGACCCTGCTCCCGATCAC